CCGGTTTTAATGTGATACGGGTCCTCGAGTCTTGGCGAGTTCGCGATTTAATGCTTTGTATGGAAAGGCCAAAAGCATTTTACTTCGGCGGATGATGACAGCCCATTTACAAATATCGCTGAGTAATTTTTCACCATATCACACTTGCCTGTATCTGGAACCATGATCTAGAAAAAAAGAAATGAGTGGCGAACCCCCACCAGAACGTTGTAGACGTCATGCGTGCTCCTTGCTTCTACTTTCATAGTGAGAACCAAAGTGGGACGCGGAGGCACTTGGAGGCATATTGTTCAGAATGAGTTTCTACGGATCCAGCATCCGTGACTCATGATGTATCTGTAGCATGCGTTGTCCTGGGAGCAAACTAGTGTGGAGATCTAGCCGCTTCCATCGTGCCCTCCATTACGCCACCTCGACTTTGCTGATTTTTACTTATCCATCTTGTAGATGACGTCGCAAGATCTGTCAAATTCCGAGCAAGTGCATTTTGTAAAGTCAATTTCCTTTCGTATCTTCTCAAAGGCCTTTTCCACCAACCTCAAGTGGCGCTCAACATATCGGAATGAATACCCCAGCCCCCAAACCGGCAGTCAAATTGATTCGCTAAAAGACACAACCTTCGATCTCGTCGTATAAGTTGTTGTAAATCTGCTCTATGTTCGCGAGGTGATAGAGAACAAACCCTCGGTCGAAAGATTTTCGCCCAGCGTCACTGAAGCTTGCGGAATCTTGTGCATGCATACTGGTCAGGAAGAAGGCGCGATCTAGGATTTTCATGCTTGATTTGTTATCGGCTCTAGTAGATAATCACTGAGCGCGAGTATTAGCTGCAGGAGCGTAAAAATTAATGGAGACTGCCCTGTTGCATGTTGTCACGATCATCACGATCATCACTACATATCCGACTGGTCCACTGGATCCGACCTTCGATCGTGTTTAGTAGTCGAGAACCACCGCCGAGAAGCGAATGGTACCGGATGGAATCCTTCGCATGAAAAAACACGACAGGTGCTGGCGCGAGGGGCTGTATTGCAGTATGATACGATGTCGATAGTCCGGCCGCCCGCCATCTTGCTTCGCGGCTCACTACTAAGGGACATGCTCATCGCTTGTCTTATATCTGCTTGTTCCCGCGGCTAATTTTTGCGAACCACAACACATCAATCATGTGAAAGTGTTACTCTTAGTTTCGGCACAGTAATAGAAGGCTCTTGCACGGAAGTATTGCAAGCGCCAGAAAACTAGATACAAAATCAAAGGCGGAAGCAGCTCGCACATGCGGTGGCGCATTTTTCTTGCTTGGGGAAAAATAAAGGCAAGGGGAGCTACGCTTCACTCAAAACTCTGAAACTCTCAGTCCGCTCTTACTCTGTCGCAGAAACCAGCTACTTACTCATCGCGTATGAAGATTGTGCTTGCACTTACATTCACAAATTGAAGGCTGCGGTGGAGGAAAGACAATGACTCCCGCAGCTCATCTTACGAGTGCCTATCTACGGTCATCATGAATCGCGACAGTCACCGGTCTTCGCTCGTGAAGTGGCAAAGGCCGTTAGCTTCTATTCTCTTTTCTTGCGTATTGAGACTGAAAGCCCTAAACCCGAAGAGGTCATCTTTGAATTTGCAAAAATATCGTTGGGTATGCCGCACAGATACTTAAGAACCCATCAAGCCCTAAACTCGGTCGAGTACATTCATTTTCTTGAGCAGAAGTGCACGGCCTTCATATTCGAAGTAGACGGTGCTTATGCTGGGCTGCATGATAATCAGTGCAGCAATCCACGCAGCTCCGGTTTCCGCCAGTAAACCGTTCGCATGCGGTTCGCACCCAGGTTTTTCTTCAAAAGCTCCTCAGCCGCAGTCGTCGGCGCAGCTGCCAGTTTCTTTTCCTCGAGAATCTTGATGCTTCACTGTCGTTGCCACGTTCTCCCTTGGGCTCCATACGCGGATCGTGGAAGTGCTAGCGTCAAGTGCCAATTTTGATGCCCCTTTCTTACAAATATTTTGAAGGGTCGTGTGATTAAGTACGATTTTTCTGTACATGTTTCATAATAGGCACCTCTGATTTTTTATGCGGTTCCACCCGTAATGTCGCAGTTTCCGGATTGATCTGTTGCGAGAGGTTAGCTCAGGAGCAGGAACTTCTCCGGTCTTCCAGCGCGTCCGAGATACTGCCGATTTCGCCCAGCGTCGCGGTCGATACTGCCGGTTCGTCGTGAATCCCAGACAAGGAAATTACGAAATAAATTATGTGTGCTGACTTCACTAAGTCACTGTCAAGCACAACTTTTTCGTTCCCTTCCAGAGATACTTTTTATTTGAAATTTTCTAGCGCTATTTTCTCCTGTGGTATTTTGCACAAAGCTTTAACTTACCTCTCGGATATAGCTCCGTCTTGGTTAGGGCTGTCTCCCAATTTATCCCGTATGCTACCGCACCCACTGGCTCCGCGCATCCTTTTTGACAACAATTCTGGTCCTGCACGCACGTGTTTCGGTCATGCCGTGCCTCGTTGCACCACCGGATTTGGTCCGACTCGGAATTCTCCTCTAACCTGTGCTGAATCCACGCCTTGTCCGCGTTCTTTTAGTGGCAGCTTACCAACGCACAGTCTGCCCAGCACATTCGGTTCTCATAGAACAGATTGTCACCATGCGGTGCTTGCCAGTGATACGCAATGCTGCTTTCGCTCGTTGGGTCCACGTTACGAATGGAGTACAGGTGATCACTTGCCGCTTTTGTGCAGCTGTGGCACAGCTGCGCATGCGGTGCGGGGCAGTGGTCATTGGTGGTGATTTGCCCGTGTGCGCAGTCGCACTTGGGGCGACATCCGCTTTCGTAGTGCACCAACTCCAGCCCCGGTCCTGGACAGTAGAAAGCCGGCTGTCCGCCGGTGGTAACTTGGTTAGTTGGATTTACCTCGTAGTCGTTGCCGTTGCAGCCAAACGACACAGTCGCAGCGATCGTAGCGGCTTCTGCGGCTTGAAGTTTTAGAAATCCGGCTTTCCACTCCTCGAAAGCCGTCGTGAAAGACAGTTTGCGCTGCAGGAAGATTGTGGCTGCTGTGCTTGCGCTTGCATTACTGTCGACGTTTGCTCTGCGAAAACTGTACGTTTGAGGCTGTCGAAAGTGAGATTGGGATTCTGGGCACATATCAAATTGAAAAGCGCCACGGAAACAACAGCGTCACCGAGTGATTCTATTGTAAAACTTCAAATGTGGTGGAAAAGCTCCGTCTCGCATGAATGGACTGAAGCAGCTGTTGCTGCAGAATCTAGTTGCAGCGAAGAAGTGCGGACATTGCATGAAAAATTCCGCTTGTGAGTCGCCTTTACCATGCGGTCCTGTAGCCCAGGCTTTTGCAGAGCTGCATCCAGCAAAATTTGTATTGCTACCGTGCGAATGAAGATCGCACTTATCTAAGTCGTATTCTCGACGAGCTTCGTGTCGCGCATCATACACTTTTGTTCCTGGGCGAGACGACTCATTTCATTTCGATAGTCGGGCACATCAAACCACTTAGCGCCGCTGTGAATTTCATGCCCATTCAAGAGGATGCGGTCGATGCACAGCCCGTCTTTATCCCCGTGTGTGAGGCGAAGTGTGACCGGCGCAAAAGCCAACGTGCCTGAATATCCTTTTGAAAAAAAGCATCCAAAGCTGCATAGAGCTGGAGTTTTATAGTGTCGGCTTCTCTACGATTACGCAAAAGCCAGTAATTTTTGTGGTCGGCACATGACAAGCTTCGGCGCAGCTGCGGAGTGTACTCCAAAATCTAGCTGGTACCCAGGACACATCACCAGTACTTATCTATCTTCTCTAGTACACATCACATCACCTGGCACCTAGGAAGGACGCATCACCAGTAAGCTGTCTTATCTATCGTCCCTAGCGCATGATACACAATTCTTGAAAACCAATGATGTTTTTTCGCGGGATACCGAACTCGGAAAATATCTAGTCACACCCCCCGAGGCTAATAGCATCTCTATTGAAGCGGTTTGGCCGTCTTCTGCGGTTGCCTGAGCCCTCAGTGCTGTATCGCGGTGGAAAAGAACTGCTTCCGGGGACTTGCTTCATTTTCGCCCGAACAAACCCATAGCAAACTTGTTTTACAAACGAAGGGCATGCACAATACCAGAAACTGCAAAAAAAAAAGATCTGCCATAAAGTCTGCGAACGGTTAGGAAAGCTACTCATAAACAATACA